GTCTTTCCTCTTCATGGGCATCCACTTGTCGCTGCCTTCATTCGAGATCTCCACCCCCTTCACGCCGTTTGCCGCTCCGAAAATCTGAAGCACGAAACTGGCCGAGTTGGCATAGGGCAGTAGTCTAACCCCCATGTTGACGCCTCTAGGGTAGTCCACGGGTTTGTATGAAACCTCCATTTGGCCCCACGGGTTGAGAGAGAATCCGTTCCACGCAGGGCCTTGGTGTGAGCTACCCTGTCCCTGGTGATCTGCGGGCCAAGGTAGCACAGTAGCCTACCAACGTTAGTGCTGCATAGATAACTTTAGTAACGGGATCTAGACTTTGGGCTAGACACGGGTGCTTGTGTGATCTCTGCGTTCGTTGACTTAGTTGTTTATTCGTGTTTGCACTACTTGCTGGTTCACGGGGGAATTTAGCAAGAGTTCCACTAGCAAAAGTTCACAACAATTGTAGCAACAACATTGGCAACACAGACTACATCAGAATGAGCATGCTAGTCGGTTGACTGCCAGCGCAGCACGGTCGACCGCGCCGCGTGCCACCACGAGTTCGTCGACCATGCTCCAGCAAGGCAAAGTCGCGGCTTGCCAACGTTGCGGGTCCGTGGTGTGCCGACGCTGCAACAAGTTGGCTGCACAGCATTGCACCCGCATGACAACAGTGCACCTGCTTCACAGGTGCGCGCAGCTGGTTGGTGCACCACTCCTTGTCACTAGCACAGCACAGACGCCTGGCAGACTCCATGCCAGTGACTGCGCCCACCAGCCATGTCGACCTCGGAATACCACCCCCGAGGTCGGCCTCGCAGAATTCAACCCGGCGACTGTCTCACACATCGCCCGGTAACATAGGGCACAGTAGACTTCGGGCTTTATGGGCCAAAATTGGCTTCTGATGAAATGATGCTAATGGGAAGATGCTACACTTTCAGCACCCTCTGGGTTTTCCGCTGCCCTGGTTACCACCATGTCACCAGCCGACAGGACTTCGCACAATCACGGCGCGACGCACGGGCACCTGCATCAAGGCGCCAGGTGCTAGCAGGTTTCAGATGCGGCTCGCAGGCAGGCACAGCCAAACATTTCGCCGTCGCCAACGGAGCTCACGGGTTGGGCGCAGCTGAATCTGTTGAATCGTGTGCCTTCCACACAGTGCCCAGCAAACTGGCTGCGCTGGATGAAGAAGTTGTACAGTACCAACTGCTAGGAGCTCCTGAAATCGCGAATGCCGCAGCGAAAGCGAGGGGAGGAACTCGCATAGCGCATCACGACCCACCTGCGCCCTCCATTCCCTAAAGAGCATCAAACGTCTGCTGTCTTCATTCTATTCACAGCCACACGAGTCATCTATCATCACTCGATTTGACATCTCCTGGGTTCGCCTCAAACTTGACTAGCAACCCCGTATTATCATGCGGCTCCATCCAACCATGGCTCGGATGACGTCACTCTCTCGCTCGCCGTCGCTCGACGTTAAGCGACTCGCCGTCGTCATCGCTGGTGAGCCCACCGCGTCGCCTCGTATCGCCCTGGCAAGTCACATGACGCCCTGCCATATGTCGCCTCGTCGACCGGGTCGTGTCGCTCGTCGCCCTGTCGTGTCGCCTCGTCCGACGACCTGTCGTGTCGTCGCCCTTTCCTTGTCGCTCCGTCGCCCTGTCGTGTCGCTCCGTCGCCCTGTCATGTCGCTCATGATGAGTCTTCCGCGGACGAGGTATCGCGCGCGGGCGGGAGTGCATCATCGATAACCCCACACGTGGGCCTGCCCAAATCTCCTCCGCACTTCCCTGTTTCCCCCTTCGCTACACTGACTCCCCCATGCTTCGCTACACTGACTCCCCCATGCTTCGCTACACTGACTCCCCCATGCTTCGCTACACTGACTCCTGCAAACCCCTCCCCTTGGCAGCAGTGCTCTCGTTCTCCCTCTGCTGCGCAGCGGGCGGCGCCGTGCGGCGAGAGCTCCTGGATGCGAGCGACGGCCTCCTGTCCCAAACGGTCACCACCAGGGGCAGCACCACGGGCAGCAGCGGCGGCGGCAGCACGGTCAGTCCTGACGAAGCTCTCGTTATCGGAGATGTAAGCACCGTCCCCGACAGCCGCAACAGCAGTACTGGCAGCAGCTCCGGCTCCGTCAGCATGGGCAGCACCGGGAACGCTGGCGGCACTGGAGGCTCCATCATTGTGTCGGGCGGCGGATCTAGCATAAGCGGCGGTAGCACTGCGAGCAGCAGCACTGGGAGCGGCACCACTGGGATCAGCAGCACTGGGAGCGGCACCACTGAGAGCGGCACCACTGAGAGCGGCACCACTGAGAGCGGCACTGGGAGTACCGGAGAGTCAAACAGCGGGGGCGAAAAGATCGTCACTGTAGACTTTAATGCTCCCATCAGATGTGAGACATGCACATGCACATGCCCATGCACATGCCATGCAGGTCCACATGCACATCCACATGCACATGCCCATGCAAATACACATGCTGACGCACACGCATATGCGTATGCACATGCATCAATCCCAACCACCTCGGAATGTTCCCACTGCAGACCATTTGCTGTCTGCTTTCAATGTTCCCTCTGCTTTCAAAAAGTCGCTCAACTGTGTCCTCTTCTGCCCTGTGCATGTGTCCTCGTCTGCCCGATGAAGACCGAGCTTCCTCGGTGCTCAGCTCACAAACCAACACGAGAGCCAAGTTCAACGTGGATGTTAACATGTGAGTGCACGTCAACGTTCCCCTTCTAATCAGATGCTCGTCATAACCTTAGCACAGAACATGCTCACCTCGCTTGAACCCAAGTCTCCATTGTGCCTCCCATACCAACATGTGGATGCAAATCCGTTCCTTTGCTTTGTCTCACTTCTGCATCACACTGCTCCGTCTCACCCCTCCATATCACCCTCCTCCCCCCACCCCCACCCCCCCCCCCCCCCCCCGGTCTCACCCCTGCAACTCACTCCACCCATTCACAGCACATCAACACAGCAAAGGGCGCTCTTCACCTTCACCGTGAAGGCTGTGTCAAAGACCCGAGCGCCAGTCTTCTCCAACTCCTCCTACCACACCAACACGGGTCAGCTCGTGGCAACGTTTGCATGCGTGCCCAAGCCCACCACCACACTTGGCACCTACCGTTGCACCACCAGTTCTCTGGCCAACATCACCGTGCCGTTCAGGCCGGTGAACAGGCCCAAGGCGCTGGTGGATGCGGGATTCTTCTCGAATCCCACCGCCTTCTACTCCACCATCAAAGTGAATGGCATCAGGCTGCGCGGCAGTATCACCGCCTCTGTTGCTAACCTTTGATCACCTGGCCCATGGCTTGTTATTGGTGCATGCCCTTAGGATGGCAATAAATTGTCAGGGTGGATCAGTTGTTGTGATCTTCTTAGATGGCTCTGTTGTATTTGTGAGTTACCCATCTGATTTCCTAGTAAACAATTTCAGAGAGAAGCTTGCCAAAAACATTGAAGGCACTTTGTGGTGAGCAGGGCAGTGTGATGCAAAGCAAAGGACTGGATAACACCACATAAGAAACGCCCCCCCGCTCAGAACACTTGCATGCTACAAATGAAGACGTGATGCATACCGTAACTTCATCCGCCGTGTGGGACGCCACTTGACCGACCCTGGCCGATGGAGACAGCAGTGCAGATGTGCCAGGGATCGCCCCAGTGGGTTCCAAGACGGATGGCAGTGAGCGTGATGAGCGCATGGTGGTCAATGGCGATGGTGGCAGCTGGTGGTGCTGAGAAGGTGCACAGCGATGGATGCAGGGAGGCCTGCTGCGAGGTGGGCGTGGAGGGCCTCTGGGACCTGTGGCGAGGGGCGGTGGGGAAGGAGAAGGGGGAGAGAAATACGAGGGGGGGAGAGAGAGGAAAGGGGGGAGAGCGAGGAGAGAGGGGAGAGAGAGGAAAGGGGGGGAGAGCGAGGAGAGGGGGGAGAGAGAGGAGAGGGGGGGAGACAGAGGAGAGGGGGGGAGAGAGAGGAGAGGGGGGGAGAGAGAGGAGAGGGAGGAAGAGACAGGAGAGGGGCGGTGAGTAAGGAGAGGGGCGGTGAGGAAGGAGGGAGATCGGCACAGAGAAAGGAGTGCGGCGGAAAGAAAGGAGAGGGGCAGAGGGAGAGGAAGTGGAAGGGAATTATATGAGCTGTTGAGAGGGAGCTCCAAACGCACAGCACAGGCCCTTGATTGATGAACGCTACCGGGCTCACTATGAGATGCTGCAGGGCTCACTATGAGATGCTGCAGCCGTGGCATGCTGTTGATGAGCTCCCTCGCACTGCCTGACCCGCCCACCGCCACGCCTCTTCTGCCATCCCCACCTGCTCCCTCCCCATCCTCCACGTGCCAACCATGCCCCGCAGGCACAGCCTTGAGTGCCCCAGTCGTTGCAATGGGCGTGCCTCCTGCCGCAGTAGTACCCCGTGGCATGTGGGCCGTAACAGCTACACCAGGAGCCCGTGGCAGCAGTGTGCTTGACCGCCTGGGGACAGGGCAGGGGGATGAGGAAAAAAGGGGGGGCATGAGGGTAGTGGCTTCACGGAGGTGGCATCACGTTGATCAAATGGCAAAAGAGTGGATTTTTTAGACGTCTGAAAAATCCACTCTCATTACGTGATTTTTGAAGTCGTCTCAAAAACTCGCTCTTATCACGTGGCTACTAAAAAAACAACTCTAATCACATTGATCAAATGGCACAAGCATAGCAAGTGAGCAAGACCTGTGAGAGGGTAGCAGGCAGCACGTGGCGACGTGCATGGCAAGCGGCTGAAATGGCGAGATGGTGATTGGCACATCCTCAGGATGAGTCTGCGGGGGGGAAGGTCCACGGAGAGAGAGGGTTGGGCAGGTAAAGTAGAAGGAGGAAGCATATGAAGGACGAAGAGGCATGGAAGGCAAGTGCAAGACGAGGAAGCAAGGTGTGCAAGGAAAGTGTTGCGAATGAGTGACTGACAGCAGGCTATGGTGATGAGAGTCAGATGCATTCAACACCCAATGACACAAATCCAGCCCCAGCGATACTCCACAACAGGAGTGTACCTCGAGCAACAGCAGAAGAGCACGGCTGTCGCCGCCCCACAGGTGAATCAGATCCACTGCCGGGCCCACACGCAGTGTGGAGTGGGCGGCAAACACAACGCACGGGCCGTGGAGAAGGTTCCTGGAAGGTTGGAATGGTCGCCAGGTGAAAAAAATGAAGGGGAAGAAAGAGGGTTGGTGAGGTGGGTGGTGAGGAGAGCTCGTTGGTGGGAGTCGGAAGAGAAGGAGGAGAGGGAGGAGAGGGAGGAGGGGGAGCAGAGGGAGGAGGGGGAGCAGAGGGAGGAGGGGGAGCAGAGGGAGGAGGGGGAGCAGAGGGAGGAGGGGGAGCAGAGGGAGGAGGGGGAGCAGTGGGAGGAGGGGGAGCAGAGGGAGGAGGGGGAGCAGAGGGAGGAGGGGGAGCAGTGGGAGGAGGGGGATCAGGGGGAGGAGGGGGAGGAGGGGGAGGAGGGGGAGGAGGGGGAGGAGGGGGAGGAGAGGGAGGAGGGGGAGGAGAGGGAGGAGGGGGAGGAGAGGGCGGAGGGGGAGGAGAGGGCGGAGGGGGAGGAGAGGGCAGAGGGGGAGGAGAGGGCAGAGGGGAGGAGAGGGCAGAGGGGAGGAGAGGGCAGAGGGGGAGGAGAGGGCAGAGGGGGAGGAGAGGGCAGAGGGGGAGGAGAGGGCAGAGGGGGAGGAGAGGGCAGAGGGGGAGGAGAGGGCAGAGGGGGAGGAGAGGGCAGAGGGGGAGGAGAGGGCAGAGGGGGAGGAGAGGGCAGAGGGGGAGGAGAGGGCAGAGGGGGAGGAGAGGGCAGAGGGGGAGGAGAGGGCAGAGGGGGAGGAGAGGGCAGAGGGGGAGGAGAGGGAGGAGAGGGCAGAGGGGGAGAAGAGGGCAGAGGGGGAGGAGAGGGCAGAGGGGGAGGAGAGGGCGGTCACCACAAGTCGTGGCTCCACGGACAGCCCTGCGGCCTCCTCCGTGCTTTCGGCCTCCCACGGCCGCCCTTGTCCCACCGCTCCTCGGTGCTGCCTGCCTCGCCGAGCCGCTCCTCGCTGTGCAGCATGGTGGGCGCGCAGGCTGGCGGCAGGAACACCACGGCTCCTGGCAGCTCCACCATGCGCACACCCATGCTGGCGTCACCATGTGCGTCAGCAAGGGAGGAAGCTGGTTTGGTGTTGTGGTTGGTGGAGGGGTGGGAGAGGAGGGCGCTGCTGATGGCGTGGATAGGCTGACCTGAGAAGAGCTGTGGGTGGGAGGAGAGAGGGAGCGGGGAAGGAAGAGAGGGGAGAGAGAAAAAGACACCTGTCAGGTGTCTGCCTAAAAGAGGACACGTGCTCTGTTTCAGAGGGACGTGTGGCAGAAGGACGTATGGCAGAAGGACGTATGGCAGAAGGACGTATGGCAGAAGGACGTATGGCAGAAGGACGTATGGCAGAATACAGCGAGCTCCCATGCACAAGCACTCCCACACATGAGGACATATATTTGTGCACACACATACTACCAACACACATACCACACACATACCCACACACATACCCACACACATACTACCAGCACACATACCACACACATACCCACACACATACCCACACACATACTACCAACACACATACCACACACACCAACACACAGACATGCATCAACACACACCCTCACACACACACCAACTCCAGACCCATCCTCACACACACAAACACACCCACTCTATCATGCACGCGGGGGTGCATCCACTCAGGCAGGATGCAGGCGAGGGAGAGCGTCTGCTTGGCCACTGGCGACAGGTACACCACCGGCACTCCCACTCCCACATGGGGTGATGGCGCTGCTGCTGCTGCTGCTGCTGCTGCTGCTGCTGCTGATTGTGCTGGTGGGCCTGGTGGTGAGTGGGAGGGTGAGAGCAGGGCGAGTAGCACGTCCAAGGAGGGGCCCAGCGGGGAGCACGGCACCACCACTCGCCCTCCCTGTGCCACCCGCCCTGCAATCACATTCACAACGCCTTCAATGCTGTCAGACACCGCACTGCACCCCGCACCATCCACCCCATCCACCCCATTCCCCGCACTCGCCCCTCCTCTCCCCTCACTCGCACTGCCCCCTCTATCGCTGCATGCCACTTCAGCTCCTCCCGTCCCTTCCCTCCCGGCCGTCACACTCACATGCCCACATGACTCACACAGCGCCTCACTCTCCATCCCGCCACCTCTGCCCTTCCATCCGCCCTGCACTCCCACCTCGCTGCCCCTCCCTCCCCCACCCCACGGCCTGCCATCATGCCCCTTCCCATGCTCCTCATCCCCCACCCTTGCCTTCCTCCCCTCCTTGGCGTCTTCTGTCCATGCGTGACTGTCAGCAGAGCTGGCTGACGTGGGCTCACATAGAGCTGCCACGTGGCAAGATCTTACTGGCTCCAGCTGTGGTGGAGCAGCGAGAGTAGTGTAGGGCAGCGATGGGAAGAGGAGGGCGAGGTGAGAGCACTTGGAGGAGGGAGCGGTTGAAGCGGTGGAGTGGGAGGCGAAGGGAGCGGCGGAAGGGTCGGTGGAGGGATGCGAGATGGATGAGAGCGGTTGTTGAGAGAAGAGATGTGCGGCGGGGAAAGAGGTGTGTGGGTGGGAGGTGTGGGGTTGGGAGGCATGGGTGGTGTGGGAGGGCGAGTGGGGGCAGTGAAGGAGCGACCAGGAGGCAGAGCCAAGAGGACCTCCCGAGGCAGCTGCAGTGGCAGTGACGCCCGGACCCACACCCACCCTCTCCCCCCACCTCACTCCCCTCACACACGTTAAAGATGCCAGCTCCTCACTCTCACTGCTCGCATGGATGAGGACGGCAGAGGGTGAGAATGGGGGGAAGGGGGGGAGAGGAGGTAGAAAGAGGAGGGAGAGAAGGAGATGGGCGATGGGTGGGAGAGGAGAGAGGTGGCGAGAAGAGCAAGGGGTTTCAGGGTGAGCTTTTGTAGTGAAAGCAACTGGATGATGATGGCTGCGAGGCGAGCGAAGCACAAGACCTTCTGTCAGGCATGTGGCTCAGTGGCAGGGGAAGGCAAAGGTGCACTTGAGTGAGAGGACACACGTGCAGTTGGGTGAGGTGGGAAGTGCGTGTGCATTGAATGATGATGTGGCTGTAGCGACGCACGGGAGGGCGGATGAGAAGGCAGAGAGATGGGCCAGCGTGAGAGTGCATAATGAGGTGAAACAGAGGCAGGGAGGCGGGGGTATAGCGAGCCTTGGAGAGGGGCGAGCATGGCAGGTGGGGCGAGCATGGCAGGTGAGGCGAGCATGGCAGGTGGGGCGAGCATGGCAGGTGGGGCGAGCATGGCAGGTGGGGCGAGCACAGGGGCACCGGCATGAGGCACGGGCATGACAGCAGCTGCACTGGGACAGCAGGGCGCACCTCAGGGATGCATGGGCCTCGTTTTCACCGTCCGCCAGCACGCCCCTCCCCTGCGCCAGTGCCGCCCTCTCTTTTGCCGCCAGCCTGGCGATACGCAGAGCAGCCTCCGTGCACACCACCTGCAGGCACACAGGGCCAGCGGCCGATCGGCGAGGGAGTGAGGGGGGTGAGAGGGGTGAGGAGGAGGTTTGAGGAGCACCGTCCACACAGCCAAGCCAAGCACACGTGGGCTGCTTGCCTCAAACGGCAAGAGAGTTAGGCGGTGGGAGGTGGGCAGGCACGACAGGCAGAGGGAGGGTGGGTCATTTGATGTCCTTCTGTGGGGCAGCACAAGGGCATTCCGACCATGCAGCACGACTTTGCTGCATGCCATAATCGCATCTTGCCTTTTTTTTCTTTAACGATCAACAAGCACAGTGTTGGGTTGGGGCGGGGTGGCACATCTCCTGGTGACATCACGGAAGTGGAGTGGAGCGCACCACGCCGCTTTGCTTTGCTTGGCTCCACGCGGCTGTCTTCAGTTCCATCCTGGAAATGCAAGCCACCACACGTAACGCCCTGTGATACAGCAGGATAATGTAGCACTCTACATTCCCTTCATGCGACTTAATAAGAGCTTGTACTGACACCTAGCACACCTTGGGGGGGGGGCGGTGGGCGTGGTGCTGGCGGTGACGGCGCAGCAGCACAGGCACGCCCAGAAGGACCTCGGGGCTCGAGATCAGGATGGCGTCCACGTCAGATGCTGCTGACGTGGCACTGAGCGCGAATGGCAGGGCGAAAGTGCTATGGGGGGTTGGCACAGAGGAGGGTAAGGGGAAGGAGAGGCGCACACCGGGGCATGGCGAGGAGGAAGCGTGGGCATGGGTGTGGGCACGGGTGTTGGCGTGGGAATGCCTGTGGTCAAATGCTTGGCCATGCGCATGGTTGGATGGTGCACCTCGTTTCCCCTCGTCCCCAACCCCTCTCTGCCTCTTCCCACCGCTCTCCACACCACCGTCATCACCAACCCTCTTCCTTCCCTTGCCCCTTGCATCCACCCCATTGCCGCCCCCATTGCCGCTCCTCTTGTCACCCGCATTGCCACCTCCATGGCTGGTCGACCATCTCGCTCCACCACACACCGACTCTGCTCTGCCTCCCCTCGCCTCCGCCTCTGCGCCGTCAACGCTCCCAACCTCTCTCCGCTTTCCCTCCTTCCCCTCCAACCCCTCGCCTCGTACCTCCTCGTCCAATTTCTGCCCGCCTCCGCCCGTCTGCCTGTCAGCCAAGCACATGCACACCCTTTGTCTCCACCGAACCTCGCGCCTGTGCGCCAGACCAGACCTCGAGGCTCGGCAGCCATGCCGATGCAACAACGCCAGGGCCGGGGGGTGGAAAGAGCCCGAGCCGGCTGCTCCGGAATGGTCGCGAGGTGCGTCTGTTAGATGTATGGCTCGGTCCGAACCTGCAGGTTCGGGCTGGTCCGGAGCAAGTGCTGAAGGGGGGTCCGTCGATGCGTCATGGAAAGCTACATCTGCGGTAGCAGCAGCAGCAGCAGCAGGTGCGGGGATGGGAGCGAGTGAATCAGCATGCGGGAGTGGCGAGCAGCGGGCGACGCGAGGTGCGTCGAGGCGAGCGGCGTCGGCGGGCGCGCGTGGCGAATGCTGCGAGGCGCGCGGAGAGCAGCGAGAATCGGCAGATTTGTCGATGGGGCGAGGCTCCGAGGATCTCTCTTGCTCGGCCGAACGGTCGAGCTTCCGAGGCGAGTCTCGCGAATTTGGTAACCACGCGGATGGGGTGGGGGGAAGGAGCAAGCAGGGCAGGGGGTCTAACGGGCAGTCGAGGAGAATGCGAGAGCCGTGGAACTCCACAAGCGCGCTGAACGGCGCTGACATGGCGGCCGTGCGTGTGTTGCAAGATTTGCATTGGATAGGAGTAGCTAATTCCATTGTGTACCAGTTTCCAGGTTGTTTTTTCAGACTTCACAATGTAGACGTTAGGGCGTGTCCAGCGCGTTCATTTCGGGATTTTTAGAGCCCGCACACGTCTCAGGGTTCAGGACTGACCACTGTACCTCAAAACGAATGCCAACTGAGCCGAGTCCACAGTTTCTGGAATTTCCAGCGCGCGGACACATTTCCACCCACACAAAGATCAACAAAGCCAAAACAACCTGGAAACCGAGGTAACCGGTTCCCTCGTGAACAGTAGGGTTGGCATTTTCGCACATGCGCAATGTGTGTTGCCAGCGCGCAGGTGGTTTCGGCGAGAGTCGCGCGGCACTGACGAAGTATTGCGAGCAATACAAGGGGGAACTTACTGTAGCTTGTTGGACGCGATACTGTACCCGAGTTCGCGCGCAAGCTGTATGCAGTACCGTGAGTCACACGACTCGAGGTACGTGCAGCTGGCGTGCCGTCTCATGTACAATTGCTGGTCAAGTCCACCCTTTCAGTAAAATGCAGTGTTACAACTCCAAATGTGGTAACTGAAAGGATATATGAACTCTAAATGTACGCGCTGGACACCTCCTTATAACATAGAATCAGTTCATTGACGGGTGATTCGCGAACCAGCTGGAAGCCATGCCTTGGGCGAAGGACCATTTTCGGTTAGATTGTGGCACGACCTGGTTTCGTTAGGCGCAACTTTCCTTCTGGTGTAACCCATATGTGTTTCCCTCGGAACCAAATCTCACCGTTCTAAATATCAAACGAAACGCTGCAGAACGAACTGCAAAGCGCATCACGGTTTCACTTGCTGTGACAAACCGTCAAGCGGGCGCAAAGCTGGTGCGGATCAGATCCCCGTCTGCTAGGCATGGGCAGAAAACCACACCACAGCAGAGCTATGCGCAACCCCGAACCAAGCAGGGTTACCTGAGTGAGGCGCGGCAGGCGGATAATTCTTCACCGCACCTGATCAACGCCACACCGTGTCCTGCGGCAATCTTTGTTACACCTGCGCGACAACAGGCGACACAGCGAAGTACGCAACACCTGCATCGGGGCGCCATTGCATCGACTACATGCTCAAATCCCGCCATGTGATGATGGCCCCAACCCCAACATTGCCAGACATTTCGTCACTACCAACGGAAGTCGAGCACACCTGAATCCGTTCAACCATGTTCTGCCGAACAGCTTCCCCGAGTGCCAGTCACCGCCTGAAATGGGACCTGGTACAGGTGATGCCCAACCCCTGCACGCGAAATTGCCTTGCACATTCCAGAAACCTTGCACCCGTGGGTTTCCTACCGCCAAGTTGCACCTACGGTACAAGCACGTCAACCAATACGAAAGCCAGGAACGAAAGTCTGACTCATTAGACTGCAGTCAAAGAGTCAACGGTGAGTTACAAAAAAAAAATTATAAGCCCTTTTTGCCCGATGCGAATTGACGAAACCTCCACGAAATGCATGAATCACTTATAGACCCATAGGGAAGGCCGAGGTCGGGGGGCTCAACTGGGCATCATATGTAGTTGGCGCGCCTGCGCACGACGGAATAATCTGACGATGCGGAAACGATTAGTAGCGAAACGCCCGACAGCAGCCTGTGAGCCGCCCGTGAGCCGCCCGTGAGCCGCCCGTCACGACGCCCGAGCCGCCCGTGCCACCCGCGAGAGCAGCCTGTGAGCCGCCCGTGAGCCGCCCTTCAGCCGCCCGTGAGCCGCACGCGAGCCGCCCGTGAGCCGCCCGTCACGACGCCCAAGCCGCCCGTGCCACCCGCGTCACCCGAGCCGCCTGCGCAGCTGAGGAGCCGAGCCGCCCGAGCCGCCCGAGCTGCAGAGCCGCCCGGGTCGCCTGTGCCGCTGAGCGCCCGAGCCGCCCGAGCCGCCAGAGCCGCCCGAGCCGCCCGAGCCGCCAGAGCCGCCCGAGCCGCCCGAGCCGCCCGAGCCGCCCGAGCCGCCCGAGGAGCCGAGCCGCTGGTGCCGACGGTGCTGCTGTTGCTGCTGGGCCGGCCGAGCAGCCGTGTTTGCTGTGCTACTGTGCTCCCCGACCCGTCCTGTCTGGTGAGATCGCCGGTTGCGGTCATGGCTACCCCTAGTGTCCTAGCTTTTGACGCTGAGGGTCGTGCCATTGACTTTGAGGTCTGGCTCGAGGACCTGCAGCTGTTCTTACAGTGCGATAGGGCAGACGGTCTTTCTCTCTTTGACCTCACCTCTGGCGCCGTCCCTGCCCCTGCTGCTGATGCTGACGCCACTGTTCGCTCACAGTGGGCCACGCGCGATGCTGCTGCACGTCTTGCTGTGCGTCGCCACCTGCCTACCGCTGAGCGCGCGCACTTTAGCCAGTACAAGAGTGCCCAGACCTTGTACGACGCTGTAGTTGCGCGCTACTCCTCCCCTGCCACTGCTGCACTGAGCCGCCTCATGCTCCCCTTCCTCTTCCCTGACCTTGCCGCCTTTCCCACTATCGCTGACCTCATTACACACCTCCGCACTAGTGACACTCGCTACCGCGCTGTGCTTCCTGCTGACTTCTGCGCCAAGAACCCCCCCCCCATGTACATCACTCTCTACTTTTTAGTCACTCGCCTCCCTGACTCCCTTCGTGTAGTTCGGGACCACTTCCTCGCGGTCTGTCCCACCACCCTCACAGTCGAGAGCCTCGAGAAAGCCCTCCTAGCGGCGGAGAAGAGCATAGTCGCTGTAGGAGCCTCTCGAGGTGACCCCCGCGCCCCCATCTTTGAGGGGTGTTCTCCTTCCCCTCTCCTGCCCTCTATCGCCTTTGCCGCTGCGGCCGACCTCGTTGGTCTTGAGTCGGTCGGTGCGGCGTCTGCCCCTAGCGGGAGACGCCGCTCTGGCAAGGGCAAGGGGGGCAAGGGAGCGGGTGGGGCCAGCGGGGGCGGTGGAGGTGGCGGTGGAGGCGGCGGAGGGAGTGGGGGTGGCGGTGGAGGTGGTGGCGGGGGTGGGGGTGCTAGTGGCGGCAGTGGGGGCGGGGGTGGCGGCGGCGGTGGCGGTGGGAGCGGAGGTGGCGGAGGCGGCGGCGGTGGAGGCGGAGGCGGGAGTGGCGGTGGCGGTGGCGGTGGTGGAGGTGGTCGGAGTGGGGCTTCGCAGCGGAGCAGCACTGGGGGTGGTCAGCGCCAGCAGCAGCAGCAGCAGCAGCAGCAGCGTTCTCGCGACCTCCCGACGCCTCAGCAGCTCCGTGATTGGTACACCCAGCGTCAGCGTGGTGGGGGTTTTGGTCCCTGCACCTACGTCCTTCGCACTGGCGACCGTGCTGGAGAGCAGTGTGGGGGTACCCACACCGCCCAGCGCTGCTTTGGCCGCCTGACGGACGCTTGGCGTCAGCAGTTCCCGGAGGCCGCGGAGATCCCCCGTTGGGGAGAGCTGTCTAGGGCTGGTGTAGCTATCTTTGATCTTGACTTTGATGCTATCCTTGCTGCCAGGTATACTGTGACCATTAGTGATGAAGGGTGACTGTTACCGGTGTTTCCCGCCCGACCCGGGCATTGGTACTGCTGCTCTAGGTGTCAGTGGACTTCTGCTCTAGGTGCCAGTGCGTCTGTGCTCTCAGGTACTGGTGAGGCTGCTCTCTCAGGTACCAGTGAGTCTGCGCCCTCAGGTACTGCGTCGGCCTCGACCTCCCACACCTTCACTCTTGACTCTGGAGCGTCTCGCTCCTTCTTTCGGGACCGCACCACACTCACGCCGCTTAGTCGGCCGGTTGCGGTGTCCCTGGCTGACCCCTCTGGGGGTCCTGTCCTGTCTCGCTTCTCCACCGTCCTCCCATGTCCGGCGGCTCCCTCTGGCACCCTGTCTGGTCTCTACCTCCCCTCATTCTCTACGAACTTGGTGAGTGGTGCTGACCTTCAGGATGCGGGAGTCCACCAGTTCACCCCTGCTCGTCAGCGGGTGACGCACTGCACAGAGGCTAGCACAGGCCGTCACCTGGCTACGTTTACACGTCAGCCAGGGTCAAGCCTGTACACACTGACCACTGCTTCTCCTCCAGTTCCTGAGTCTGGTAGGGTCCCTTCGTCAGGTCAGGTGTTTGCTGCAGCGTCCAGGTCTGGTCCTGAGTCTGCCCCCTGTTCGTGTCGTCGCCTGTCTCACGAGACTCTCCTCTGGCACCACCGCCTGGGTCACCCCTCTCTGCTTCGGCTCAGAGGCATGGCCTCCCGTCTTCTTGTGTCTGGTCTCCCCCGGTCCCTCCCTCCCCTTCCTCAGGGCCCTGGCCCTGCCTGTGTCCCCTGTGTCGAGTGGCGCCAGCGTGCTGCTCCTCACTCCTCCTAGTTTCCTCCGACAGAGGCTCCGTTGCAGACGCTTCACATGGACGTGTGGGGCCCTG